GTCTCGAACCCGCGGGCTCAGGCTGAGCCACCGAGCCCGGCTTAGTTCTTCTTTCTACACCTGGTGAACTCTTTCTCCACTTTCAAGGCTTAGCTCAGACACCTTCTCCTCCAGGAAGCCTTCTGGGAGCTCTCTGGCTGTGCTGAAGTTCTTTTCTTTATCTCATTGCACTGAAATCAGAATCAGCTCTGAGTGGAGCTTCCTAGCACACACCACAATGTCAGACTGCCTGAGTTCAAATCCCAGGTGTTCAAATCCCTCCTAGACCATGAGGCCTGGGCCTAATGTCTCTGAACTTCAGAGCCTTTCATCTAAAAAATGTGGAAAGAAAACTGTGGACCACTGGGTCACTTCCTTACTGGACTCCTGTGTCCTTAATGTTCCTCTCTGAGCCAGCTCACATCCTTCCTCTGCCCTGAGTCCTTCCATGGCTCCCAGCTCCCTCAGAGTCAGTCAGAGTCCTCGCCCTGGCCCAGGAGGTCTGCCCCGTAATCCCTCTGGCCTCCTCTCTCCTTCCCTCTTCTCTCCATGCACACCTTCGTTCACATCCACCTCAGGACCCTTGCACTTGCTGTTCCCTCTGCCTGGAATGCTTCCCCCCCAGGAATCCACATGGCTCCTTCCTCACCTCCTTCAGGACTATACTCAAATGTCACCTCCCCAAAGAAGCCCTCCTTGACTCCCCTCACCTGAAATGGACTTACCCCACCTCCAGTCCACAGCATGTGCCGCCGCAGCCACCACGCACACACCCTGTGCCTGACGATCTCCCCACCCGGTGGTCAGTTCCCCGAAGGGCGGGACTGTGTCTGTCATCACTTCTGAGCCTCAGGGCCCTAGGTTTGTCTCATCCGGAAGCAGGCACAGAGGCGAGGACTCGAGGGCAGACAGATTGGGAGGTTCAGAGAACAGGGGCATGGGGATGTGAGGCAGAGGAGGCAGGAGACCACGAAGGCCGTGTCCTCCAGACAGTCATCACTGGCCGGCTGCAGCGAATCCTGCTGGGGGGATCTCGAGGCCCTGGTGGGGAACAAGTCCTCGGAGTCAAGACCCCCGCTCTGACAGAGACAGAGTCGGGGTACTTACACGCCAGCCTGTGGCAGGCATTGAGGGCCAGGTTGCTCATTCCCCAGTGCTCCCGGTCTGCTACCTCCAGGGCAGAGTGGGCCCTGAGGGTCCATGACAGCCCTTAGGATGCAGGTGCTGGCCATCGGAAGTGTAGGGGGAGAGGCCAGAGTGGAACACTGGGCACAGGCTCTCCAAACACACTCAATGGTGAATGAATGAAGGAAGGAATGCCTCTGCGGTGGTCAGAAGAAACACCCGGCCATGGGGCCTGGCTTCCTGTTTGCAGACAACCCTTACAGAGTGCCCCTGAAGACATTCCCAAGCACCAACTGGGGCATCATCGAGAGTGAACTCAACTACTCAGTGATCCTGCAGTGGGTGGCCACAATGGACCCCGAGCCCGTGCTGAGCTGGACCCACAATGGGGAACCCTGCTGGACGGGCGAGATGCTGATCATCCAGCGGCTGTCCCGGGAGCAGCTGGGCACCTACATGTGCACGGGCAGGAACAGCCAGAAGGAGCTCTTCTCCGAGCCCGTGACTGTCATGCTGCCGCGTGAGTCCCCTGTCCCACCTAAGACCCCTGCTCCCTCGCAGACCCACGGCAGCCTACCTGATTCCGCCGAGCCTCCACCTACGAGCAGGCCCCTCTGAGACCCTTTATTAATTTAGAGTCAGGGTCTCACTCTGTCACTCTGCGGCTCACCGCAGCCTCAGCCCCCTGGACTCAGGTGATCCTTCCACCTCAGCCTCCCAAGTACCTGGGACTACAGGTGTACACCACTACATCCAGCTAATTTATTGATGGAGATGTGGTCTCTCTGTGCTGCCGAGGCTGGTCTCAAACTCTTGGGCTCAAGGGATCCTCCCGCCTCATCCTCCCAAAGTGCTGGGATTACAGGCATGAGCCACCACGCCTGGCCCCCTTAGAGACCTTTTATAGCCAAAATGTCATTCCAATTTTCCATCCATCCAGCAGGCTGTGGATTATTAGCCTGTTTTGAGGCTGTGGCTCAGAGAAGTTACCTGCACTGAAAGCCCAGCTCAGGGTCTGGGCTGGGTTCCTAGACCCTGGCTCCAACCAGTTGCTGGCTGGGTAAATGTGGGTAGCCACTTTCCCTCTGTGTCTTAGCATGCCTGCCACAACCACAGATCAATCTGATAAGGGGAAGTTCTGAGCACGAGCTTTAGAGTTTGAATTCAGGCCTGGCTCGGTGGCTCAGCCTGTCATCCCAGCACTTTGGGAGGCCGAGGCGAGTGGATTGCCTGAGCCCGTGGGTTCGCGACCAACCCCAGCAACTTGACGAGACCTTGTCTCTACAATAAATTTTTAAAAATTAGCCAGACGTGGTAGCATGCACCTGTAGTTCCAGCTACTTGGAAGGCTGAGGCGGAAGGATCACTGGAGCCCAGCAGGTCAACAGAGTGAGACTCCAACTGGGCAACAGAGTGAGACTCCAACTCAAAAAAAAAAAAAAAGAATTTGAATTCGGACTTTACTACTTCCTGACTGTGTGACTTCAGACCAGTGCCTTGACTTCTCTGTGCCTCAATTTCCTCATCTATAACATTGGGAAAATACTAATGCCCACCCCTAAAACATAGTTGTGAGCATTTTTAATAAACAGGTGAACAGCTTAAAATAATAACGCCTAGCACGACCAAACACTCATGAGCATGTGAACTGGTGGCATTATTCCTATCAATATTATTATTGATTTTGTAACTATGACCATATGCAGTAGCATACATGAAGCCCCCAGGAGGCAGTAACAAGAACAGCAGGCTACTGGGATCTGAGAAGTGGTCGAAACTGGTTCAGTTTCTGTTTCCGTACCACCCGGCTGGGTAGCTCTGTGCAAGTGACGTCCCCTGTCACCCTGGGAGGGTGGCTGTCTCAGTTTCCTCCTGTGTATAATGGGGGCAATCCTATATACCTTTGCAAGGCTGTACCCAGGAACAAAAACACCGGGAGAGAGAGGCCGGCGGCACACCCGCCAGGTAGCAGGTGCATGGAACGGCAGCTGTTACCGTGAGTCTTGTTCTTAGCGCTTTATTCATGAAGAACAAACGTTCTGGGGTGAACTGGAAGGCTGCAGAGGAGATGGCCAATGAGAAGCCTGGCTTGGCTGGACCCGGGGAACTGCCTCATCTCCCCAGCCCAGGTCCACTGAGAGCTCCAGGTTGATCCACAAGAGGGTGGGGGGAAATATAAGTCTTTTTTTTTTTTTTGAGTCGGGATCTCTGTCACCCAGCCTGGAGTGCAGTGGCATGATCTCAGGTCACCACAGCCTCAACCTCTGGGGTTCAAGCAATCCTCCCGCCTCAGCCTCCTAAGTAGCTAGGATTAAAGGCATGCGCCACCACGCCTGGCTTGTTGTTTTTAGTTTTTTTTGCAGAGATGAGGTCTCGCTATGTTGCCCAGGCTGGTCTCAAACTCCTGAGTTCAAACACCCTCCTGCTTTGGCCTTCCAAAGTGCTGGGATTACAGGCATGAGCCACCACACCTGGCTGGAAAAAAAATGTAAGCCGGGCTCGG